CTTTTGTGCCCGAGTGCCTCACTCATTCTCACCCTGGTCCTGGCCCTGTGTATGAGAGCGATGGGTAAATATTATCTTCCTTACTGAGTCTATGGTCAAAAAACTTTTGTGCCCGAGTGCCTCACTCATCTCACCCTGGTCCTGGCCCTGTGTATGAGAGCGATGGGTAACCCTCAGCTTTTCCCTATCTACAACCTATAACTGAGCATGGGGGTTCTAGAGCTAGACCATTCCTGTCCCATGTGGACTTGTCTACCGGTAACCTTTACTTGGGAACTAACTCCCCATGTAGTGCTCTTTCAGAACTGCACTGTGGTCTGAAGCTCACACTACCCAATCCTTCCTTCCAACCTTTCACAGGTGTCAGCCCTGCAATGTGGTATGGACTTCCTCACCTTCTCAGGCTCCCTTCCCCTTTATCCTTCATAGGTGTTTCACCCCAAATAAATCTCTTGCACATCTAATTGCATCTTGGCATCTGCTTCTGGAAGACCCAAATGGATACACTAAAGACTAAAAGGAGTGTTTTATAAGTTAGAAGAGCAGATTTTTTCATTTCTCTTTTTCAGATTCTAATTTGAATGTGTGAGGTAATATGTCTTTTAAAACAAAACACAAAGCCTTTGGATTTTACATATGAAGTTTTAATTAAGACATGAAAATTTATTCAGATCAATTTATTTGAACTCATATCCAAAAAGAAACATTCAACTTCAGGATTAGAAATCAAAGTGGAAAAAGTGTGGATCATACAAGCCTGAATGACAAGAGAAATATCTTTGTGAGGTTACTACTTAAACTCTGTATACTCAAGTGTACATCAAGTTCATACTTGGCTTATACAGAATTTATCCAACTCTAGCAAAGTCAGAATGATTTCAGTAAACCTCGAGTTTTACACCATGGCTCTCAAGTCTAAAAGCTTAGATTTGATTATAACCATGGCAAAAGTGATTATCTTTATTTGCTGAAAATGTAATCAACTTTTAAAATAAGTTAGGCAAACATCAGTTTTACATAGACCTTATAAAGAGTAGGAGGAAATTGCAATTGTTCATCTAATCGCAGAGTTTAAACTATAAATCCAAATTGTACCGTTATCTCTATTGTCAAGTCAAGCCAAGAAAGCCTATTACAGACTAAAAGAAATGAATGTGATTCTCTGCAGGTCCACTAAGGGAATATTTTGAAAACCTTTCATCACATTAGTACTTAACGGCTGTATAGCAATTATTTTCAAGGATGCTCCAAGAGTCACCTCTTACTGAAGAATTAACCTTCAGGAAGTTGAGACACAGTATAATTACTACATTTTGTAGGAGATGAAGGCAAAGAAGGTTTAGGACTGAGTAATCTATTCAAAATTTAAAAGTAAATAAAAAATAGACTTTGGCTTTATTTGAAATAGAAATCGTGTGCCCTAAATCCCTTCTCATTGGGTTATATCCATTAGTCCACATTTTTACTTAACAGCCAATCTATTTTAAAAAGTTACCTCCATTTTTATGTCGAACATCTTAATATAGTAGAATTATATACAGACAAACTCTTGTAGCAATGCTTATTTTTAGTAGGTCATTAATAAAGAAAAACCTTTTGTGCTTTCTGTTCTTTCCCTAGAAATAAAAATGTAAAACTGGTTGTTAAAACAAAAATTGTACAGGCTTTTTTACCAAAGTAAAAACAATAATTTGCTTGACTTAAAATCTTTTATTCATCTGGGCATTAAATTACCTAACATTACACAGGCTTTTTTATACCTAAAACATTGTTTTCCTTTTGTTATCTCCAGGAATGTCTTAAGTCTACTTTCCTGTGAAATATGCTCTACCAAAATCAATATTATAAGCTATTTATAGATTCTGATCATAACTAAAAGTGATAAGAAATGTCTTAAATAAAAAGTAAGAGTTTGTTAGATCTCAAGAGGAAGGAAGCTATTACATGGAGCCATAAAAATGATCCAAACTTTAGAGACAGGAAGCTGATAACTCTATCTTCTTAATGGCTTTGGCTCATGAATAAGTAATAATGGTTTATGTGCTTTTTTCTTATAAAAAGAAATGGGATTTGTATAGAGTCCTATTTGCCATATCTTTCCTACTTTTTAAAGGATTTCTAATTACTAACACATTCGTTATATTATTTATAATAAGAAATCAAAACTTTAACTGAAAGCTATTCTTTGACCACAGTTGGCCATTAGCTGAAATTTAGGAAAGAACACAGGTTTGATCACCAAATCAATAAATCTAGCCACAGGCTGACTAAAAGCTTCCTTTAATCTTCTTCCTGTTAGGTCTTCCTTTAAATTAAACCACTCCCTCTATGAATTATTTAAGTGAATGGCATGGTTACAGAAAAATCACATAGGACTCTTCATTAAAAAATGCTCGAGGAACCTAAAAAAAAACCCAATCAGCATATTTCAGGAATTATAGTACGAATTAAGATGCTATGTTTAAGAAAAGGGGGGAGAGGGGATGTCCTGAAAATCTTCAGAGAAAAATAGCAAAGTCAAGTTTATTTCCTGGTTAGTACAGTATGATTCCCAAAGCGCAGTTAAGTGTCTGGTCCAGACTAGCTATTAGCAATTAAGTAGTTCCCTTTCATTGTCAAGGCTTTTCCCTGAGGCAATGCCTGAATTCTTAATTTTAATATTTTATCTTGTTTCTTTTAGCTCCATCCTCTCTCACCAATAAACTCTACACATTTTCACCATGCTGAATGCTTTCTCAACTCTGGAATTTATACTTTTCAATTGTTCCTAATGTCCAACTTTGAGTTATAAAATTTGTATTTAGATATATTTATATTCCCCCACATTGTTCCTCTTATAATTTACAATAAAAAAATTTACTCATTTTAATCCAATAAATATATTTTTTGCATGTTTTATGAGTTAGTTTCTGAGTACTGGTTGTTCTCCCAAATGCATCCTCATAATGAAACAGAGAAAGGGGGTAACCTTTCTAAATTCCAATCTCAATGTTTAAAAAAATTTATTACTCTTTTCCCTTCATGGTAAACAATTCCCTTCTCAAGTCTTCATATCTCTACTTTCCAAATTTCTTTTCATTGTAGCAAATACCAAAGGAAAAAATACAAACCATTTCAGAATAAATGAGTCTCTTTCCCGTTCTCATTTATTAGATAATCTACTTCAGGGCTACATACATGGCAGTATTTTGAAAATGTTAACAGCTGTTAATACCTTAAAATTGAAAAAATAAAAAAGCCAGACATGTATCACAAGCAATCAGTTTGAATTATATGAAAAGCTACTTAGATCTTGACTTTCATATAAACACTAATTTTTACCACTATAAAAGACAACATAATTATATTTCATTATAAAACTACCCTTTAACAGAACATTTGTAAGCTAGTCAGTCATCCCTTAGGTTTTTCTGTACTGATAAAAAGTTATTTTTAAAAGAAAAATATTTAAAATAATTGTTTCATAGAAACAGAAAGTATTATTATCAAATTCTGATAAAAAACTATAATCATGGGTAGAGTCTTACCACACTATTAATTTTCTTTCACCAAAGATGGACATTTAGTAAGTGTTATAAATTAGTTAATAATATAAGCTTCCCAGTGATCTACAAAAGCGCCACAATTAAGATGAGGTAGTATGAGACTTTCCTACCTTTGTAAAAGGTAAATATCTTTAGAAGAGATATTTACCTTGACATTGGTGTTATATCCTGAGCCTCATCATTGCTAAGAGAGTTACCATTTTAGTAGCTACCTCTCATTGAGACCAAGACAATCTTGAGATCACTGAAGAAGAAATGCTAGAAGATAATGGTAATAGAGATTTTCCCAATTTAATTTTGTAATAAATACTAAAAATTTATTTCAAAACTATTACTGAAAAATGCCATCTTTATGTTAACAGCAAAACTGCAAGAAAGAGAAATGCTACTTCAACATAAAAGCAATGGCAATCAAGAAACATTTGTTCTAACTTGGAAATTTATGAGTCAAATTTCTTTCAATCCAGGTAGAAGAAGTTTTCTAATATAACTAAACTAGCATTATGAAATCAATTACTATGATATTAAAAATGCCAATTTGTACAAAGGGGTAAGCAGCTCACCAGAAGAAAAACTAGACAGTCTGTTTAGGAGATTATTCATTGATTCATTTAAAAAAGAAGAGTTAGGATATCAGTCCATTTATCTTTATTAGTTACATTGGGCTGATGATGTTTCTAAAAATGTTGCCTGCTCTTGGGAAAGTAAATTTAAAATATTACCACTTTTGTCCAGTACTATTCGCTACGGCATATGCCATGTAGCTGTGAAAAAGCTTTCCCTAAGGCTGGCCGGTTAGCTCTCTTGGTTAGAATGTGGTGCTGATAACACCAAGGTAAAGGGTTCGGAACCCTTTACTGGCCAGCTGCCCAAAAAATTTTTTTAAAAAGGCTTTCCTTTTTTTGAAGCCATGTTAAAGACATAAGTTAATTGTGAAGACAGTAATAATTATCTGCAACTTGAAGATCAAAAACAATATTAAGCTTCATAAATACTGAGCTCATCTTTATTTCTTGAATCTTTATTCAAGTTTAATTTAAAATAATGAAAAACTATTTAAGTACTCTTTGGTTACCTATCCAGTGCGCCACCGGGCCGGCCCAAAATATGGACATTTTGAAGTTGTAAAGCTGTTAAGAATTTATTACATAAACAAGCACCATCAAATAGTAGGAATGCCAAGCAAACATTCCCAATGCAGTTTTGTTAACTCATTTCAAAAATTGGTCAACTTCACTATCTGTCTGGCAGTTTTTAGAAAATATGGAATTAGATAAAAATTTGGCATTTTACACATATACTCCCTTGTATTCTTGATCATTTGAAAGCAAGCAGGTAAATTCCTATTAGACACTGCCTTTCCTATGAAGTTGGCTAAACATATTACAATTCACAACATACAATACTGGGTTTCATGAAGACTAATGGTAAAAATCTGTCACAGATAAAATTTACTTAAGTATTCTCATATGCATTGTTGGTAGTTATGACACAGGGTGGAACATTAGTATGTGAGAAACAGTTTACATTTTCTTCCATGTTTCTTCTTTGTTTGGGCTGACCTTCCCTCGACTCACTTTGAGACAAGTCTGTGCTTACCCACCCATCTGATTTGGGATTTATAGGAGCAGTATGTCGTTTAATAAAATGCCACCTAAAGGCTAAATCTGATCGAGGTGGGAATGGACACTTATCTAACATGAGTTCACTGATATGAATTTTTCTTTTAGATGGAAGCCCTGAAGAGTGCCGACTACTACAATTCTTTAGTGGAAAACACTGCCCCACAGCATCTTGCAGTTTCTGCTTAAGAGATCGGCCTAAAAATCTATGTCCACAGGAATGATCTAAGTCCAACTCGATAGATGAACAGCTGTGCTTCCTTTCTTGGTTCCTTAAGGGAACTTCAGTTTTCTCTATCGCATTCACTGTTTCAGCATCTGAACAACTCTCACTCTTTTTTGACCAAGATAACTTCTTTCCACTCCACACATAACCATCCTTTCTGTCAGCACTTCTACTCCGAGTAGTTTTGGGCCTTACATCTACAGTTTTACTATTATTTTCACTATTTTCTGCCATTTTTATGAATTATCCAGAAATTCCTGTGTTATAAATATGGCTTTTTCAGTTTTTCTTGCAGGAAGTTTCTTCTGGACACTTTCTGGATGTATCTAAGGGAAAAAAAAAAAGTCATTAACCATTTGCTGTCCACTGTATAGTTTATATATTTAGCCCCAATTAGACATGAGATGAAAAAGCATAATTAATGCATGAAAATATGTACACAAATTAGTACATAAATTAGAGACTACTGGATATGTTGGAAGGCAGTCCCAAGATAGTTTGTTCTCACTTAAATAAAATACTTTGCCATATACAAATAATTTAATGGTGCCATAGAGTCAAGAGTCTGAGTTTCTTTTCGTAGCTAATATTCAATGTGGATCAGAAAAAGCCAAGTCTTCTATTTCAACCACAATATATGCTCGAATGTGAATACTTTCTAGTCTTAAAGTACATCTTATGCTGATCTTTCCTCACCTTATTTTTCTTATTTCACAGCAGATGAGTGAATTCATTGTTAAGAGACAGTCACAAATCTATGAGCTGAGTTTCTGAACGACTACTCTGTATAGTTCCTTCTCTTTCCTCTCCTTGTTTCTTTTCCTACTAATTAAAATATGGACTTTTTTTTTTTTTTGTCTTTTTCCGTGTCTGGCAACGGATCGCAACCCTCAGTGTTGCCCCCGTACCGGACCAGGGACCAGCAACGGGATCGCAACCCTCGGCGTTGCCCCCGTGCCTCGCTCAGCCAGTGAGTGGGAACCGGTCTGTATGTGGGATCCGAACCCTCGGGCGGGAGCGCCACTGCGCTTCCCAAGTGGCGCACTATCCAGTGCGCCACCGGGCCGGCCCAAAATATGGACATTTTGAAGTTGTAAAGCTGTTAAGAATTTATTACATAAACAAGCACCATCAAATAGTAGGAATGCCAAGCAAACATTCCCAATGCAGTTTTGTTAACTCATTTCAAAAATTGGTCAACTTCACTATCTGTCTGGCAGTTTTTAGAAAATATGGAATTAGATAAAAATTTGGCATTTTACACATATACTCCCTTGTATTCTTGATCATTTGAAAGCAAGCAGGTAAATTCCTATTAGACACTGCCTTTCCTATGAAGTTGGCTAAACATATTACAATTCACAACATACAATACTGGGTTTCATGAAGACTAATGGTAAAAATCTGTCACAGATAAAATTTACTTAAGTATTCTCATATGGAATAAGATTTAAGCCAGGAATTAGGGAGAAGGATTCTACAATTTCAAAAATTTTACAAAAGAAAGCTGAATTTTGTGACTGAGAAAATCAGTCAAATTCGACATTCTGGGCCAGCCCGGTGGCGCACTGCTATAGTGCGCCGCTTGGGAAGCGCGGTGGCGCTCCCGCCGAGGGTTCGGATCCCACATACAGACCGGCCGCTCACTGGCTGAGCGAGGGGTGGGAGCAACACCGAGGGTTGCGATCCCGTGGCCGGTCCCGGTCCGGTACGGGCGTGACACTGAGGGTTGCGATCCGTTGCCGGTCATGAAAAAAGACAAAAAGGAAAAAAAAAAAATTCGACATTCTGATTATGACTGTTTCTGATTACGTCAAAGAAACATTAAAAATCCCAACAGTCAAGTAAATGTCTATAGACACTTGATTCCATTTTTAAAGTAATAGGATTTGAAACAAGCATCTATTCCGGCAAATATGATTGGCAAGTACATAAAAGTGTGACCTCCTGATACAGACTTGCCATATAAAGTTATTCCATTTCTAAATGCTGAATAGCATCTGGTGCTTATGCTTATTTTGAGTTAGTCAGCTCACTGGTATATAACCACTTAAAATCCTTAGGAAAAAATATTTATCTGATTTTGAAAGAAAGAACACCACTTAGCACAGCCAAAATTATATCTAATGATACGCTTTGGCTGTTAGTTTTCTAAATTCCACTGAACAAAAAATAAACAAGCAGAAACAATAAAGTAGGCTAAAGAATATGAAGACTGTTTGACTACGGTTTGAAATGCCTGGTGCTTTTATTTACTAAATAAATACCAAAATAGCAGTTTATTAGCTGTATGACCAGCTTTACTCCACTGGGTGTGAGCTCCCTTGGCTTGCCTCCTTGCTACCTCTGAATTATGGCGTTTTCTCCTTCATTTCCAAACTAGAGTTAAGTTCTTTACTTCTGTTCTTAATGACATTCCCACCTTTACTAGAGCCCTGCTTCAATCTCTTTTTATCTCTCTCTCAAACTTCTCGCTGCCTTCCAAAATAACCAAATCTCTTAGAATATCTTACAATAATTCTAATGCTTCCTCAGTGATAACTGTTTCTTTCCACTACTAAATTTTTTCATAAGTAGTCTAATTTGATTTCCACTCAAGATGACAATAGCTTTTTGTTTTTTTCTGATTATAAAAGAAATAATTATCCGGTTTGAAAATGGCTGAGTGAAAATCTTTTTGCCCTATCCTTTTCTCAGAATTCAGCTCAAAACAACAAGGAAAAATGAGATACAAAATCACAAACCTCATCTTTAATGAAACTAGCAAAGTTATAAGCTGAGTTACAGAAATATGAGGACAGAAAAGGAATGAAGGAGCAATAACTGACGCAGCAGCAGAGAGGCAGGTGACACCAGGCACAGGCATGACACAGATAATAAGCAGCCAACAGAGCAGGCAAAGTTCATGATGCTACAGAAAGTGCGACTAGAGAACAGGGTAGAAAATGGCGAGGTAGGTTGAAATTTTGCTTAGGAGTACTTAGATTTCTCAGGTTCTTTCTCCCACACTTAGAGGAGATGGGACATTTATTGTTATTAAGAGAAACAGAACCAGAGAGGCTTAGGGCTTTGGACACCAGAAGCAGCAGAGGGTAGAGGGGAGGCTTGGGACTAAAAATAGACTAAATGAAAGTTCCTTGGTCCATTCTTCCATCCAGCTCCCAGAAGTCCAGCAGACAGACTTATACCTCCCTAAGAGCATAGTGGAAGATATTTTGCTACAGAATTTGAATGGCCAAAGAGAAAAGACCTACAGATGCTGACAGCTGGGAATCCTCCAATAAAAAGCTGGAAACCCAAGCATACAGCAAAGCTCACCTGTCCACAAGCCCTGCCTACTCACACACAGCTTCGAGGCAGTATAGGTGTGCACTCTAGAATATGAATGCTCATGGATCATTAGACTTTTGAGGAAAGTTTCTAACATGAATGACAGACCAAAACATACAGAACTTGGAAAAACCAGTAACCATGGGAGGAGGAGAAAATAAAAATTCATTTCTTCCAAGTTAGATATTACCACTGAATGAGTAAGATGCTATCAAAAGGGGGTGGGAAAAATCAGAGAATAAGGACATTTTTGAAAATTAAAAATATGATTACTGAAATAAAATATTCAACAGAAAAGTTGGGGACAGAAAAAAGTTGGAAATAAGTTGAGAAAATAATACAAGAAATAGGGGAAAAATGGTTAACCACAAAGAAAACACAAGAAATTAGAGAATCAATAGAAATTTCATAGAAAACAACAAAATGGAGGGGAGACATTACCAAAGAAACTATATTAGAAAATTTCCCAGAATAGAAGGACATGAACCTCCATACTGGAAAAGCCCACTGAACATCAAAGTACGTTATTATGAAATTATTCAAAGTACGTTATTCAGAATCCTAGAGATAGAGAGGAAATATTAAAATCTTCCTGACAGGGAAAAAAGTACAATCAAAGGACTACAGTCAACAGCAACATTGGAAGCTAGAGGTTAGTTTCCTACCTTGAAGGGATAACAAGCCAAACTATCAATCAAATATGAGGACAAAATAAAGAAATTTTCAGATTTGCAGAGTACCAACAATTTTACCTCATATTGGATAATGTGCTCTTCTAAAATTAGGAAGTAAACTCCAAGCGAAGGAAGAGATGAGACACAGGAAACAACATTCAACACAGGAAAGAAATGTGAATTCTGGGGAGGATGAAGGAGGGAAGTCTTAAGACAGAGGTGTGGGTATCTGGAGCTGCTAGAGAGCAATCTGTCCATATAACCACACAAGGATATAAGACTCCAAGGGAGAAGATCTTGAGGAAAAAAACAGAATTGACTTTTGGAAAACTCAACTGAAAGGATGAGAAAGCAAACGGAAAAAGAATTAGGTAATAATTCATTACAGAAAAATTCAAGTTATATAAGAAAGAAAAGAAAATTTTAAAATTACCTTTTCAGCAGTGAACAATATTTCCATATTCATCAAAATTGCGACATAATTTTAATAAGAGGATGGAGAAAGAGGAAAGAGGATAGAAGAGAGGTAAATTCTCATCCATCATGAAAGAAACTCAACAGTGTCTAAAAAGTTGATGAATCAAGAAAGAGAAGTATAAGCCCATTATTTAGAAATACGAAAGTAAATATCAGGAAAACAGTTAAAAGATTTGAAAACAGATGCTTTTGGTACTGGGTAGGAGAGGACTGTAGCATTTCTTATCTAAGCGTGTCAGCTCAATTTAATTTTTAACCCAGGTGCATTTATCACTGATAAACATAAAAATAAAAGTAATTCATGCTCACCATGAAAAATCAAACCAGGTATAATGTTATAAAGAAAAAAGTAGACTCTCCATAGTCCCACCAGCCACCACTAACCATTTTAACATTCTCAATATCTCTATACCCTTATATGGCAAGGAAGCAGTTCCACAGCAAAGTGATGGCAGGCATTAGAAATATGGTTTGAGTCTGGTTTGTTTCGTATTAGCCCTATGACCTTGAAACCTCAGTTCATTCACCTGCAAAATGGAGGTATTGATGATATCTATTTCTTTGTTCTGCTAGGGATTAAATGAAATAATGCATGTAAAGTACTCAGCTCAGATCCTAAATGTATTAAGTACTCAATAAATGTTAACACATACCTTTCATGTATTTTTTCTTTTTTACAAAAATCCCATGAAGATTAGATACATTATTTTGTTAAAGCATCTAAGCCAGTTTTACAGAAATAGTTCATAATAAATTACAGAACACCTTTGTCCCTAGCCCAATGCTAACTACAAAGTAAAGAGATCTTTAGGAGCAAATATAATTTGCAGGGGGATAACTAATGT